TGCTTCAGCTCTCATATTGTAAATACGTATTTTTTTGTAATCTACTTAATGCCACATTTTCACATTTTTGTGATTTTTTGGGTGTCTTTACCATTTAAAATGGCCCTCAGGCATGGCGGTGAAAGGGCTGTTCAGTGTTCCCAAGTGCAAAAAGGCTGTGATGTGCCTTATAGAGAAAATAAGTATGTTAGAGAAGCTTTGTTAAGGCATAAGTTGTAGTACTGTTGGCCAAGTTCAATGTTAATGAATAAACAATAATTATTAAACACATATAACACAAGATTATATGTTGATAGTTGAAACTGTGACCAGAGGATTACAAGAACCAAACTCTGTATTTCCCCTAAGAACAATGGTATATTATTTCCTAATTCAGTATTTGCAATGACTTCGTGTAATTACTACTAACAATGAAAATCAACTGTAGTTGGATTTATGTCTACTAGTTTACTTTTTATTTCCCATATGTTTTATATGGTTCTGTGGTTTTATGTTTTTGTTTGTTTGTTTTTGTTTTTTTTTTTTGTTACTGTCCTTATATTCTTTCTTCACTACTTTCTCTTACATTAAGTGAATATTTACTAAAGTAGCATTTTGATTTCTTTAATGTTTTCCCATGACACTGCTTTTGTTTTTCCTTAGTGGTTGCTCTGGGGTTTACAATATACTTATTTTGACTTATCAACTTCAGATTTGTGCCAACTTAATACCAGTGAGATAGAAAAAGATTGCTCCTATACAAATCTTTTCCTTTTTGTCCTTTTTGTAGTCTTGTTGTTATACATATTACATCTACAGATATTAAAACCCAACAATATATTGTTACACTTATTACTTTCTATAATTTTATGGCTTTTAAAGATGCTTAGAGAAGAAAGAACAAGTATATATTTATATCATTTGTTATATTAGCCTTTTTATCATTTCTGATTCTCTTCATTTTTTCCTGTGGATTCACATTACTATCTTCACTAACTTCCTTTGAACAATATAGCTTTGTTTCCATGTACCTCCTTTGTACTATTGTTGCCAAATATATTACATTTCTATATATCACATTTCTATATGTTTCTATGTGTTTACGTTTCTATTTTCTCTATAAGGCACATTACAGCCTTTTTGCACTTGGGAACACTGAACAGCCCTTTCACCGCCATGCCTGAGGGCCATTTTAAATGGTAAAGATTGTTGGTATTGTTGTTATAGGCCAAACAATACCAAATACACATTTTTATATTGCTTTTTAAAAAGCAGTTAAGAGAATAAAGGAGAAAAAATGCATTTGTACTACCTTTTATAATTACATAATTAGTTTTACTGTTGTTTTGTTTTTCTGTGTGGATTTGAATTTCTGTCTGGAGTTAACTTGCTTTTGGTCTGCAGAACTCTAGTATGACTCGTAAGATGCATCTGCAAGTAATAGATTCCCTCAGTTTTGATTTATCTGGGAATGCCTTTATTTTGCTTTCATTTCTGAAAGATAACTTTGTTGGATATAGAATTTCTGGCTGACTTTTTTTTCTTTGAGCACTTTGAATGTACTATCATACTACCTTCTGGTGTCCATTGTTTCTGATAAGAAGTCAACTGTTGCTCTTCTTATGGTTCTCTTATAAATAACTTGTTTTTCTCTTGCTGCTTTCAAGTTTTTCTCCTTGTTTTTGACTTTCAGTATTTTTACTATGATATGTCTATTTGCATATCTTTTGTGTATCTCCACCTTAGAGTTTTCTGAGGTCCCAGATGTGTAGATTAATGTTTTTCAATAATTTTGGAAAGTTACTAATTCTGTGAAGAATGTCAGTGGTAGTTTGATGGGAATAGCACTGAATCTATAAATTACTTTGGGCAGTATGGCCATTTTCATGATACTGATTCTTCCTATCCATGAGGATGGAATGTTTTTCCATTTGTTTGTGTCCTCTCTTATTTCCTTGAGCAGTGGTTTGTAGTTCTCCTTGAAGAGGTCCTTCATGTCCCTTGTTAGCTGTGTTCCTAGGCATTTCATTCTCTTTGTAGCAATTGTGAATGGGAGTTCACTCATGATTTGGCTGTCTGCTTGTTTGTTGTTGGTGTGTAGGAAGGTTTGTGATTTTTGCACATTGATTTTGCATGCTGAGACTTTGCTGAAGTTGCTTATCGGCTTAAGGAGTTTTTGAGCTGAGACGATGGGGTTTTCTAAATATAGAATCATGTCACCTGCAAACAGAGACAATTTGACTTTCTCGTTTCCTATTTGAATACTCTATTTCTTTCTCTTGCCTGATTGCCCTGGCCAGAACTTCCAATACTATGTTGAATAGGAGTGGTGAGAGAGGGCATCCTTGTCTTGTGCTGGTTTTCTAAGGGAATGCTTTCAGCTTTTACCCATTCAGTATGATATTGTCTATGGGTTTATCATAAATACCTCTTATTATTTTGAGATATGTTCTATTAACATCTAGTTTATTGAGAGTTTTTAACATGAAGGGATGTTGAATTTTATTGAAGGCCTTTTCCGCATCTCTTGAGATAATCATGTGGTTTTTGTCATTGGTTCTATTTATGTGATGGATTATGTTTATTGATTTGCATATGTTGAGCCAGCTTTGCATCCCAGGGATGAAGCTGACTTGATTGTGGTGTATAAGCTTTTCGATGTGCTGCTGGATTCAGTTTGCCAGTATTTTATTGAGGATTTTTGCATTGATGTTCATCAGGGATATCGGCCTGAAGTTTTCTTTTTTTGTTGTGTCTCTGCCAGGTTTTGGAATAAGGATGATGCTGGCCTCATAAAATGAGTTAGGGAGGAGTCCCTCCTTTTCAGTTGTTTGGAATAGTTTCAGAAGGAATGGTACCACCTCCTTTTTGTATCTCTGGTAGAATTTGGCTGTGAATCCATCTGGTCCTGGGCTTTTTTTTGGTTGGTAGACTATTAATTACAGCCTCAATTTCAGAACTTCCTATAATCTATTCAGGGATTCGGCTTCTTCCTGGTTTAGTCTTGGGAGGGTGTATGTGTCCAGGAATTTACCCATTTCTTCTAGATTTTCTAGTTTATTTGTGTAGAGGTGTTTATAGTACTCTCTGATGGTAGTTTTTGTATCTGTGGGATCAGTGGTGATATCCCCTTTATCATTTTTTATTGCATCTATTTGATTCTTCCCTCTTTTCTTCTTTGTTAGTCTAACTAGTGGTCTATGTATTTTGTTAATTTTTTCAAAAAACCAGCTCCTGGATTCATTGAGTTTTTGAAGGGTTTTTCTTGTCTCTATCTCCTTTAGCTCTGTTCTGATCTTAGTTGATTTTTGTTTTCTGCTAGCTTTTGGATTTGTTTGCTCTTGCTTCTCTAGTTCTTTTAATTGTGATGTTAGGGTGTCGATTTGAGATCTTTCCAGCTTTCTGATGTGGACGCTTAGTGCTATAAATTTCCCTCTTAACACTGTTTTAGCTGTGTCCCAGAGATTCTGGGATGTTGTCTCTTTGTTCTCATTGGTTTCAAATAACTTCTTGATTTTTGCCTTAACTTCGTTACTTACCCAGGAGTCATTCGGGAGCAGGTTGTTCAATTTCTATGTAGTTGTGTGGTTTTGAGTGAGTTTCTTAATCTTGAGGTTCTAATTTGATTGCACTGTAGTCTGGGAGACTTTGTTACGATTTCAGTTCTTTTGCATTTGCTGAGGAGTGTTTTACTTTCAATTACATGGTCAATTTTAGAATAAGTGCCATGTGGCACTGAGAAGACTGTATCTTCTGTTGATTTGGGGTGGAGAGTTCTATAGATGTCTATTAGGTCCCTTTGACCCAGTGCTGAGTTCAAGTTCCGAATATCCTTGTTAATTTTCTGTCTCATTGATCTAATATTGACAGCAGGGTGTTAAAGTCTCCCACTATTATCGTGTGGGAGTCTAAGTCTCTTTGTAGGTCTCTAAGAACTTGTTTCATGAATCTGGGTGCTTTTGTATTGGGTGCATATATATTTAGGATAATTAGTTCTTCTCATTGAATTGATCCTTTTATCATTATGTAATGCCCTTCTTTGTCTTTTTTGATCTTTGTTGGCTTAAAGGCTGTTTTATCAGAGACTAGGATTGCAACCCCTGCTTATTTTGCTTTCCATTTGCTTGGTAAATTTTCCTCCATTCCTTTATTTTGAGCCTATGTGTGTCTTTGCAAGTGAGATGGGTCTCCTGAATACAGCACACTAGTGGGTCTTGACTCATCCAATTTGCCAGTCTGTGTCAAGCTATTGTTTCTACGAAATAATATATTTCCACTGTAGCCTGACTTTGCCGGGTAGTCCTCCAACAGAGCCCTTCGCCATACCCATCAAAGGTCAGAGGCTTCAAACCCTGCAGCCTGTGGGCCCCACCAAGCACTCAGTGGAGCCCTGGCCTAATTTTGGAGAGACCTGCAGCCTGGGGCATCATCAGAGCCTCTGCTCTGCCATTTCAAAGATTTAGTAAAAATAGTGATCATAGAGTGAGGAGATGAGGGATCCATGATCAGAACTTTGGGGGCTCACTAGGGCACAGGTATGTTCCCAAGCACAGGCATGGGCTGATACACACAGGTGTATAGGTATTTGTGAGACAAGGCTCTGCAATCAGACCCTTTTATTTGTACATTTACTATGACAATGTCCAGGAGACAACAGTAGAACTACTACATTCTGATGACTTTCTGGCCCATAAGGGAAGAGACCTTGGAGCTCCCAAGGACACCATTGCAGGTGATGTTGCCTGAGACGTGAGAGGTGTGAACGCTATTGTGCACACCACTGGGGGAAGGTCCCATAGCAGTTCAACATGAAATGAAACAAAGGTGCTTGCCCCTCATCTCCATCCCTACTGGGCTGGGCCTGCAGCTGCCTCCCTGCTCCTCTCTGTAAGCCCATCTCTGCCCAGGAAGACATTATTCCCTCACACCTGCCCCAGGGCTCACCCCCAGCAGAGATACGCCCCACGGTTCCCACTGACACCCAGCAGTGTCAACCCACAGGGTGGATCTCGCCTTGTGGCCAGGACGACGGAGCATCATCAAACCTGAACACATCTCTCCTTCTCCTCCAGGCCCAGAAACTGAGGTTCTCCTAACCTCATCCCTCCTTAGGTGCAGAAGTGTTTTATAAGCGCAAACTCCTCCTGGGATGGAGCAGAGGGCTGTCAATTCCAGAATATCGCCTCATTGCCACTGTCCCTGCTTCTGGAGTGCGCTTTGATGCAATCAATAGATTTCTACTGGTTTATCTATGGACAAACCCACATTAGGGAAGACCCAACTCCAGTCAGGAGCCTCACAAACCAGAACATCCACAAACAATGAACCAACACTACTAACACAACAGTGCCTACAACAACAAGGAAAACGAAGGCTTCTCAAAGCCAGCCAGGGGTAGCACAATCAACACAGAGGGGTATAAAGGTTCCAACCACTCAGAACACCTGGCACGACCACTCACTCACTCAGTCACTCACTCACTCACATCTCCCCCAGCTCACCTCCTCCGCACCCCAGCATGGCCACATCCACCATGTCCATCTGCTCCAGCACTTGCTCTGACTCCTGGCAGGTGGACGACTGCCCAGAGAGCTGCTGTGAGCCCCCCTGCTGTGCCCCCAGCTGCTGCGCCCCGGCCCCCTGCCTGACCCTGTTCTGCACCCCAGTGAGCTGTGTGTCCAGCCCCTGCTGCCAGGTGGCCTGTGAGCCCAGCCCCTGCCAATCAGGCTGCACCAGCTCCTGCACACCCTCGTGCTGCCAGCAGTCTAGCTGCCAGCCGGCTTGCTGCACCTCCTCCCCCTGCCAGCAGTCCTGCTGCATGCCTGTCTGCTGCAAGCCCGTCTGCTGTGTGCCCGTCTGCTGCAAGCCTGTGTGCTGTGTGCCTACCTGCTCTGAGGATTCCTCTTCATGCTGCCAGCAGTCTAGCTGCCAGCCAGCTTGCTGTGCCTCTTCCTCCTGCCAGCAGGCCTGCTGCGTGCCCGTCTGCTGCAAGCCCGTGTGCTGTGTGCCCACCTGCTCTGAGGATTCCTCTTCATGCTGCCAGCAGTCTAGCTGCCAGCCAGCTTGCTGCACCTCCTCCCCGTGTCAGCAGGCCTGCTGTGTGCCCGTCTGCTGCAAGCCTGTCTGCTGCAAGTCTGTCTGCTGTGTGCCCGTCTGCTCTGGGGCTTCTACTTCATGCTGCCAGCAGTCTAGCTGCCAGCCAGCTTGCTGCACCTCCTCTCCGTGTCAGCAGTCCTCCTGTGTGCCTATCTGCTGCAAGCCTGTCTGCTGCAAGTCCGTCTGCTGTGTGCCCGTCTGCTCTGGGGCTTCCACTTCATGCTGCCAGCAATCTAGCTGCCAGCCGGCTTGTTGCACCACCTCCTGCTGCAGACCCTCCTCCTCTGTGTCCCTCCTCTGCCGCCCTGTGTGCAGGCCCGCCTGCTGTGTGCCCGTCTCCTCCTGCTGTGCCCCCACCTCCTCCTGCCAGACCAGTTGCTGCCGCCCGGCCTCCTGCGTGTCCCTCCTCTGCCGCCCCGTGTGCTCCCACCTCTCTTCCGCGTGCTGCGGCCTCTCCTCAGGCCAGAAGTCCAGCTGCTGACGGGCAGGTCCTGTTTCTCCAGAGTTGTTCCAGGGCCATCTCTGACTTCCGAAAATCCTTGCAGCCCTGAGCCCTGTCTGAGTCTCCTCTGCCCAGAGCCACTGCACCTCCAGCCGGCAACGCTGAGCCTTCATGCTGAGTTCCCTCCAGGCATGCATCTCTCCCACACCCTCATCTCCATCCTGGCCAGCCGGTGGTCGCTGCGTCCTGCCCCATGTGTGTGATCAGTCTGTCAACGAATAAAGTCACCACTGTGCCCTCTCAGAGGTCTTTTTTGCATGTCTGGCAAGCCCTGGGGGAAGAACTTCGATGTGCTGTGTGGGGCGGGAGCTTCGGGCCTCTGGCCTTGAGCTGCATCCAGGCTGACAGCACCAGGGGCAGAAGCAGTCCTGACTTCCCGCTGTGTGGGGTCTGCTGCTGTGGGGTCCCCTGCCAGCCTCAGCATCTCCAGGCCCCAGGGGTGCCCTTCTCTATGAATGCCCTGCACCCACTGGGCCTGGCCTCTCCCTGGGCTCCTCCCTCTCTCTCCTTTCTCTGCCTGTCTGACCCCCCACTCACCATCTTCTCACCAGCCCTCTCTTATTAAATGAAATAAATACTTCTCATTCCTGGAAGATATTTTAGAGCTGATACTTATTTCAAAGTATCTGTGTATGTTTGTTGGACAGTCTGTGTATGATCATCCCAATGCCTGAAGTCTCTGTGGGTCCATTTCAGCTTTCTGTCATTTCCGCCAGTTCTCACTCATGGTGTCTTGTTTCCTTGTGTGCTTTGCTGTTTGTGGCTGAGTAACCACCGTTGTGCTTGAAAAGTTTGTGGGCATTTCTGAGGCCTCTAAGACAGGTGTGTTTGCTTTTTGTCTTATGTGAGGAACCCTCTGATTCCAGGATCACCTTCAACTAAATTCATGGCTTCGATTTGTGTGGGGCACCCAAAAGGTGCCAGTTCGGGCTGCAAAGCAGAATGAGGCCAGGCTTATTGGGGCAGGATGTTCTCCTCTGGGTGTGCTGAGTCCCCAGGCAGCCAGCAGCCTCCGGGATGGACATAAGCCCATGCTTACCTCTGACTCCCTCTTCTCTGAGGGTGCAGCCTGTGCAGTCTCTAGCTTCATGTAGGGATAGTCTCCTTTAGACCCCACCACGAGGGGGGCCCTTGGCTTTGCTTTCTGTCCTCTTCATCCTGCAAAACCATTCAATCCTAAATTTAAAATTGGCAGACCAGCGAATGCCCTCAAGAACAAAGTGAATTCTGGGTGTTTCTAAATGCTATGGGTTAGAGCAAGAGTTGTTCAGCTGGGGTCTGTGATCTTGGATGAGAAGGAAAAAAAATGCATCTTTATTCTCCCAAACCTCTAACTGAAATGTAGTGTTTCAATCAATCATGAATGTAGATGACAAAACTTACAGCGGCACCTGCAGCTTTGTCACCAACAGGAATGAAATGCGTGGCATCACATTACGCTGGCTGCAAATGCTCAAAACCTCATTCTGGCCACGGCTGTTTCATAATTACGGTAGTACAAGATGCACCTGCTGGGTTCCACCAGGCACGTTCCCTAGGGAAGCACATGCTAGCGTGCTGTATCGCCAGTTCGCTTTTCACAGTGTAACAGCTGCGTTCTCACGTAGTTGCTTTCCTTTTACTCATCTGAAAACCTCCAAAGCTTTCATGAACTGGCCGGGAAGGTCCCAGGCGCACAAAGGGCGAAGACCCCTCCCTTCAATTTGGGCCTGTAATCCCGTAATTCTTTGTTCCTTTTCCAGTTTCCTGCTGCAACTAGGAAGATTCTTCCTAGTGTTTTCCATTGTTTTCGGCAAGATGACGGGTCAAACAATCTCACCAACAGGTTTCCAGAACTGGAATCCCTGGAGAAACGTCTACTTTTTCTTTTTTTTCTTTTTTCTTTTGAGATGGAGTCTGGCCCAGACTGGAGTGCGGTGGTGCGATCTCGGCTCACTGCAACCTCCACTTCCCGAGTTCAAGGGATTCTCCTGCCTCTCCTCCTGAGTAACTGGGATTACAGGTGCCCGCCACGATGCCCAGTTAATTTTTTTTAATTTTTAGTAGAGACAGGGTTTCACCATCTTGGCCAGGCTGGTCTTGAACTCCTGACCTTGTGTTCCACCCGCCTCGGCATCCCCACAGTGCTGGGATTACAGGCGTGAGCCACCGCACCCGGCTTTTTTTGTTTTGTTTTGTTTTTTGAGAGTGGGTATCACTCTGTCGCCGGGCTGGAGTGCAGTGGCGCGATCTCAGCTCAGTGCAACCTCTGCCTCCCGGGTTCAAGCTATTCTTCTGCCTCAGCCTCCTGAATAGCTGGGATTACAGGCATACACCACCACGCCTGGCTAATATTTGTATTTTTAGTAGAGATGGGGTTTTACCACATTGGCCAGTCTGGTCTTGAACTCCTGACATCGCGATCTGCCTGCGTTGGCCTCCCAAAGTGCTGGGATTACAGGTGTGAGCCACCATGCCCGACGCGACTTCTTAATTCTTAAGAATAACTGGAAATTTTCCATACCCTTCCCCTGTTGTTGGTAATGATTCCTTAATTCTTGAGTTGGTCTTTTCCTTTGAACCATTGTATCTATTAACTTGTCCCAGCAGTCATTTATTCCTTCGCAGTTTCCATGGCATGTCTGTGCAAATGCAATAGAGTTAGAAGTCCCTGTCCGAGTGTCACAGGCTCCCAGGACGGAAGGACACAGGCCCCTTGTCACTGTCATTTTCCTTTGCAAGCTCCCAGCCCGACCACCAGGACAAGGGGAGCGGGCAGGGCAGGAAGGGCTGTCCCCAGCCCTCTCTGTGTCCCGGGTCTGATCAGCAGCCCAGAGCAAGGCTGCCCTGCCCTGAGCCCCACGACTGTGTGTGTGCAGCCTCCGCCCTGCTTGTGAAGGGGGTGGGATGTGTTTGTGTTGGGGAGTGGGGGACTCACCACACAAGGACTGGGAGGGGACTTCTCACACTAGGGCTCCCAGATCCTGGTGCCCTTCACCACCCATCTCCCACAGCCCTTGACCAGCTGGCCTAGCCAAGTGCCCACGTCTCCCCACTGGGTGGGACTCTGTAAGGGAACGTGGTTTCTGCATCTTCAGGGAGTCCTGAGCCAGGCTGCCCTCCCTTTGGCTCATCCTGTGGGACATGGGGGCCCTGCTAGTGTGGGAGTCCCCATTTCTAGGCTGTGTGGGTCACCCCGTGGGGAGGATGGGAGGGGCAGCTCTGTGTGGCCCCCGCAGCCCTCGGACCTGGGAAACGTCTCTTTTCCCTCCCGTTACTGTTTAATTGTGACATTAGTTACCTTATCTCGGTTTTTATTTTATAAACCATTTTGAGAAATGTTTTCATCTAATTGGAAACATCTGGTGAAATTTCCTCTCCTTTCGAACTGGCCGCTTCGCTCCTCATCCTCACATTTTCAGGGTCTTCTCTGCTTTGGAGGTTTTCCTCTTGTTTCAGCTGCCTTTCCATCTTTAGAATATCCACCATGGTTTGTGTTTTTTCTCTTCTACTTTTATTTGCTGTTGTGAAAAACATACATTCTGTTTTTAATTGTACTAATAAATAACTTTTAAGTTTACCTTTATGTTTATTTTTTAATTATTAAAGTGAGGAATGGAACTGCAATTTGAGAATTTCTATTTAAAACAGAATTAATCTTGCTCTTCTTTTTTTTTTTTTTTTTTTTTTTTTTTTTTTTTTTTTTTTTTTTTTTTGAGACGGAGTCTCGCTCTGTAGCCCAGGCTGGAGTGCAGTGGCCGGATCTCAGCTCACTGCAAGCTCCGCCTCCCGGGTCCACGCCATTCTCCTGCCTCAGCCTCCCGAGTAGCTGGGACTACAGGCGCCCGCCACCGCGCCCGGCTAGTTTTTTTTTTTTTTTTTTTTTTTTATATTTCTTAGTAGAGACGGGGTTTCACCGTGTTAGCCAGGATGGTCTCGATCGCCTGACCTCGTGATCCACCCGTCTCGGCCTCCCAAAGTGCTGGGATTACAGGCTTGAGCCACCGCGCCCGGCAATCTTGCTCTTCTTAACATCAGCCCACGTGTCCACCCCCACCCGCTTCTTAGTCTTTCTTGTTTAATTGGAAGCAACATACAGCATATTCCGGTAGAAACAGAACCACACATGCAATCCTAAATATTATAACAGCCACATTTAAAGATGGCAAAAGGAACAGGTGAAATTAAATTAATAATAGATCTTATTTGACCTGGTACATCCAGAATGCTACCATTTCAACATGTGGCAGGAGCCACATTTCAAGCACTCAAGAGCCGCATGTGGTTAGTGGCCTCTCACATTAGCATGCAGTAAAGTATTAGGGTCTTATCATTGCTATTCAATTAGGATGTTGAATATGCATCTGTTGTATGCATCTGTTATAACAGATGGGAAATTTGCATTTGCAGTTTTAACTGAGCACATTGGTTATCTGGACACAGGTCAGTGTCTTCCTCTTTGCATCTGGGCCAACCCTTTGATACCCCAGCCTCTACAATCTGGAGCCCTTGTCTTAGATTCTTCTCTGCCATAGTCAGCTGAGGCTGCCATAACAAATTACCGTGGACTGGAGGGTCTTGAGCAGCAGGCATTTCTTTCTCCCTGTTCTGGAGGCTGGAAGTCCAGGATCAGGCAGGGTGCCACATGCTGGGGTTCTGGAGAGGGCTCTCTTCCTGGTCTACAGACAGCCACCTTCTTGCTGTCTTCACATGGCCCAGATAATCTCTCCAGGGTTTCTTCTTTAAAGGGAACAAATCCCATTCTTGAGGGCTCCACCCTCCTGACCTAATTACCTCCCAAAGGCCCCGCATCTTAATACCCTCATATTGGAATTAGGGTCTCAACGTGTGAGTTTTGGGAGGACACAAACATTCCATCCATAACAATCACTTTGCCATTTGTCATACTTCCTTAAGTATTTTTTCCGAGAGGAATACCTGGGTGGAGTACTTTCTAAGCTCTTGCTTTTGTGAAAATGCGTCACTGTTATCTTTATTTGAGAAAGATGTAATAATTTGAATAAAGGAAAAGTAGAGCCTTAGTCCGCCAAAGATTCCCCTGGAAGCTCTAAGGATATGGCCATACCCTGGTTGGTGGGACGGGGGTCTGAGGTCAGCCTGATGCAGTTCATTTCCAGATCGTATATTACTCATCCTGCCCGCGAGAAGCCTGTTCTTAGGTCTTCTACATTGAAAAACTTGTCAATGCATGTCTAGGGTGGGCTCTGAAGGCCTGATTTTCTTGAAATTCATTAAGTTCTTCTACTCCAAATACACATACCTCTGTCCATTCAGCCCAGAATACCTGATCCTCAATTATTTCTTTGATTATTACTTTGATCCAATTTGTTTTTTTCTCCCTAGCAATTGAATTTTCATGTTTGGTCTCAGCTAAATATACCTTCTGTTTGTTATCTTTTCTCTCATTATATTTGTGGGTTTTATCCTTTACCTCGGTGTTTGGAAGAACTCATGTTTGGACTCAAAATTGAATTGATTCTCTGGGGTATTAGTTTTGTTCTTCTGCTTCTGATGTGAATTTTTAATCCAGCTGTTTGGTATTCAATTTGGTATTGAAGACTTGCTGTCTTTCATCTTCAACATTTTTTTTTTTTTTTTTGTTAAGAATCAGAGACGCACTGGTTGAGAATATAGATCCTATGTACAGACCGGCTGGCTTCTAGTCCTGGTTCTGTTACTTTCTTCTGTGTGACTTTGAGCAGATTGCTCAACCTCTCTGCTGAGGCTTCCATGTCTGTCCATAGTAACTTTGACAAGGAGTTGATGCCAAAATTAAGCGAGTTAATAGATGCCAAGTGCTGGAATGCTGCCTGGCATAGCCACGTGCTTGTCAAATGCTCTCTGACCTCACCAGCTTCATCATCAGTGCTACTAGGGGGTCGTTTTCTAAGATCGCTGAAGCTGTCCCTACAGTCACATGCTAGACCTTGGGGTTCCAGGTCTGTGGGACCCACCCCCTCATACTCCATTAGGGAACGCAGCTGCCTCAGCTTCCCTTCGGCTCCCGCCCTGCCTCCCAGTGCCGACTGCCCTGTGCCTCCAGATGAGAGGCTCTTGTCAGGAGCTGAGTCTTCACAGATGTCACCCCTGCGAGGTCGGAGGGGCTTGTCTGACAACAGCCATGGAGGGCGGAGTGACTGGCACGTGCTGGAGGCCCCAGGTTCAGATGGAATTTCCATCACAATGGCAAGGCAGGTGTGCAGGGAGGGGCTGTGGGGGCTGTGAGTTTATCCCACATCCGGCCAGTGCGCATGGCCAGTGACAGTCACAATGGCAGTGACTCAGATCTTTAGTGGACAATTGTGTCACCCGCAAACAACAGACATCCACACCTCATTTCTATTTCTCGGCTTGCTGCTTTGACGCCCTGCAGGACAACAGAGAAAGGTTCTGTGACCAGGGGCCTGCTCACCTCCTGCTACGCTACGACAGGAGAGCTGCCAGTGAGCCTCCCTAGTGCTGTAGGCTTTCTGGGCCACCATGAAAGCCCGGCTCAGGCTGCCATGGCCTCATCCCCAGCTGGAAGAGGCTGGAAGGACATTGGGAGATGGTGGTGGTTCCTGGTGAGAACCAGCTTCAGGCTGTGCGGGCCTCAGGCCCTGAGAGAGAGGAGCTTGCCTGTGACCGTCCCTGCCCCGGGGTCAGGGCCCGTCCTGCCCGATGACCTCCCAAGCACAGGCTGGCTTTGCCCACCCCAGGTGTCCTTCACTGTCCACGTGACCCTCATTCCACATCCTCCTCCCCAAGGCAGAGGCCCCTCCCCACCTCCAGGCCCTAATCTGCACCCGCCCTTCTTAGGACACCTGACCAGGGATCCAGGGGACAGCAGTCCAGACCCAAAGGCCAGTCCCCAAGCCTTGTCCTCCTAATGAGCTGACTGTGCAGAGGCCTTGCCGGAACGTTCCGTTTCCATCTCAGGGGAGGGGAGGTCCTCCCTGCCCTCCTGCCCTTGGCAGACATCAGGATCTCAGAGGATCCCAGAGCCCGCCAGGAAGCGGTGTCCTCAAGCGCCTTTTCCCAACACAGGCACCTCTGTCCTGGCTCTCCCAGTCGCAGCCACATCAGCCCACCCCGTGAGGTCCCTGCAGACAGAGGCTGGGCATCCCCCGGGCCCCACGCCGGGCACAGTCACGAGACCTGCCAGGTGGAAGTCACCAGGTCAGCCCCAGAGAGGCCGCACCCTTCCTCCTGGTGTTCCCGGGGACAGGCTCAGCCAGGGGCACCAGCCTGGTCCAGGACCAGCGAGTGTTAGGAGCAGAGTGAGGACAAGTCATGGCAAGGGAAGCAGAAATAATGAGGGTCCTTCCGGCTCCAAACACCAACACGGAAGGGGAGGGTGTTGCTGAGTCTCCTGCTAGGAAAACACAGGCCCTGGGCATATAAAAGCCCCAGCAGCCGACAGGCTCAGACACACACTCACACACACACTCACTCATTCACACACCTCCCCCAGCTCACCTCCTCCCCACCCCAGCATGGCCGCGTCCACCATGTCCATCTGCTCCAGCACCTGCACCGACTCCTGGCAGGTGGACGACTGCCCAGAGAGCTGCTGCGAGCCCCCCTGCTGCGCCCCCAGCTGCTGCGCCCCGGCCCCCTGCCTGACCCTGGTCTGCACCCCAGTGAGCTGTGTGTCCAGCCCCTGCTGCCAGGCAGCCTGTGAGCCCAGCCCCTGCCAATCAGGCTGCACCAGCTCCTGCACATCCTCATGCTGCCAGCAGTCCAGCTGCCAGCCGGCTTGCTGCACCTCCTCCCCCTGCCAGCAGGCCTGCTGTGTGCCCATCTGCTGCAAGCCTGTCTGCTGTGTGCCCACCTGCTCTGGGGATTCTTCTTCATGCTGCCAGCAGTCTAGCTGCCAGCCGGCTTGCTGCACCTCCTCCCCCTGCCAGCAGGCTTGCTGTGTGCCTGTCTGCTGCAAGCCCGTCTTCTGCAAACCTGTCTTCTCTGGGGCTTCCCCTCCGTGCTGCCAGCAGTCTAGCTGCCAGCCAGCTTGCTGCACCTCCTCCTGCTGCAGACCCTCCTCCTCTGTGTCTCTACTCTGCCGCCCCGTGTGCAGCTCCACCTGCTGCGTGCCCGTCCCCTCCTGCTGTGCCCCCACCTCCTCCTGCCAGCCCAGCTGCTGCCGCCCGGCCTCCTGCATGTCCCTCCTCTGCCGCCCTGTGTGCTCCCGCCCGGCCTGCTACAGTCTCTCCTCAGGCCAGAAGTCCAGCTGCTGATGGCCATGTCCCCCAGGGCCAGCCAGAGGAACTCCCTGCCAGTCCTTGGACCTCCCAGCCCACCCAGCCCCAACACAGCCCAACCACAGAGAAGCAGCAGCCCCACCCACAGCCGTCCAGCCCGGGGGTGGGGTCTGAGATGGTCACTGGCTCCTCCCAGACCTCCCCCAGGGTGGGCGAGCCCTGGCTGCTCCTTGTGGCGCCTCCTGGCTGCAGACCACGACCCTCTGCTGGTTGGGTACGGGCCTTCCTGACCCGGGTCTCACACCCAGGAGTGTCACCCTCTGCCTCTGGGCACCAATAAAGCCTCTGCAGCCCCAGCTGACTCTGTGCTGACTCTTCACACCCAGGGCGGGATGGGGCAGAGTGGGGCCTGGCCTGGCTCTGGGGGGCTGGGCCCCGTGGATCTCTTTACATCCCCAGCTGGGGGGCCGTGGGGGGCTCTTGTGTGACACCTGGAAGTTCCTGTCCACCTTGTGGCATGTTCTGCTGTCCAGCTCCCCTCCAGGTCCTGTGGGGCCCAAAAGCTTTGCTCACTGACTGAGTCCCACGGACACCACATGGCTCGGGCCAACGCTCCACTCACCGTGGGTAGAAGCAGCTCCTTCCCATGGCATGGGTTGGGGCTGTCCCAGCGGGTGGCAGGCCCCAGCTGTGCTGGGAGGTGGGACATGGGGGCAGACTTGGGCTCCAGCTGTCCCTGTGCTCAGGGAGTTTCACTCAGGGACAGCTTGGGCATCCTGGCCTCCTGCGCACTCACAGACGCTCAGGGACGCCCTCTGTTCCTGCGCCAGGCTTGCCGCTGGGATGCAGAGCAGAGAACAGGGACGCGGCCTCCAGAGCTCCCTGTGCTGGGCTGGGTGGGCGGAGGGCCGGTGGGAACAGGAAGGCCCCAATGGCAGAGGAAGCCCGGGACAGCGTGGGGACACATGCAGACCAGAGGTCAAGAGAAACACACGGACACACAGGTCCAGGTGTAGCCAGATGTGGTTTCAAACAGGATTGAGCCAGTCTGAGAACAGACTCCTAGAAATGCAACTGTAGGCAAGGGATGCTGACAAGGCAACGGTCATCACGTTGTCCACAAGAGGCCCCGAGTCTTTACTTCTTAACAGCTACATGATCACAATGCCGGGCCACACATTGTTCTTTTTTTGCCAGGTTGATTAACAAAAATATTTTCTCATGGTTTTCTTCAGCAAGGAGTGCATCGTTCCAAAGTGTGGACACGCCACACTTGATGTCTGCAACGCCAGGTGGATGGCCTTGAACGTCTCTCCAGTTGTTAATTATTACAAACGATGCCTCTTGTGAGATATGGCAAGGTTTCTCTTCAAACAGCCTGATCAATCCTTTATTGTTTAATTCCCAGTACCCCTCCCTGTCTCTTTCTTCTTCTTTCCTTCTTTCTGCTTTTCCTGCATGCCCAGGCATGCCACAGCACCAGTGGCTGTATCAGCACCAGCTCACATTCCTTTCCTTATTTGAGAAAAGACTGACTCCCTAGCTCACCGCAGACGACCCCTTCCCCTAAACGTTTAGCCAATCGGGTTCAGCTTAGATTGCACGGTCTGACCCTGGCCAGTTAAAAAAGGGCACAGGGGCAGGATTTGCATCAAAAATAAAAACTTTCACTCTCCTTTGTTCTGTGTGCTCTCGTGGCAACCGGCCATACGAGAGGCACCTCTCTGTGCAAAGATAATTTTGCTTTGCTAAAAAATCCTTTGTCTAAGGGCTAGTTTTCCTTACGACTCTGGTTCTATTTCTAACACCTCTGTGGGTGTTTCTACCAGATACCTTTCCACACTCAGGTACATTTTTGTTTGAATTCCTAGAAGTGGCATTGCTAGCACTGAGTGTTCATGGATTTCGAATTCATAGAGATACTGAGAAATGCCCTCAAAGATGGTCCCTAATTGTGCCCGCGAATACCGATGTCAGAGGAAATGGCGCAGCAGGGAACTATGAGGGCCTGTCCCTCCAGGGAACATCAGAAAGTGGCAAAACCCAAACAAACCAACCCGCTGTCCCTGGCCAGCGTTCCCTGGCTGTGCAGTTGTATTTCTAGGAGTCTACCCTCGGATTTGTTCATCCTGTTTGAAACTGTCTGGCTCCATCTGCACACGTGTTCGCGTGTTCACGTATTCTCCCACCCTCTGGTTTGGACGTGGTCCCACACTGTCCTAGTCTTCCTCCACCATCCCTTCCCCAAGACCTTCCCGTCCCCACCTGCCGTCCACCCACCCACCCCAGCAGAGGGGGCTGGAGTTCAATTTTATCTGAACTCTGGAAAATATTTGAAGGTTTGCAGCAGGCAAGGGAACATATAACTAAGAAAAAGCAACAGAATCAAATAGGAGAACCTTGTGGATTTAAACTTCCCCTTGCCCCATCCCCCATCTCCAGCTGGGTGACAGTCAGGAGGACAGCAGCCAGAGTTACTGGTGTGGGGTGCTGCTGCCAGGGAAACAGAGGGGACCTTGTTTGCAAGGCAGTGAGGTTGTCCGTTTCCACCCGTCTGGTGGCTCCCTGAAGGACTAACACACAGGGCTTGCCTTATTTCACCAACTCAGACTCAAGGCAGAGAGCAGCTACACCAAGGCTTTGTCAGAACGTTAAACAGTCACTGCCACCTGGGGCCAAAGATATCAGCCAGAAAACACTGGGCACACCTGAAAAGCCTGGGAGGAAAGGCTGGGAGATGGCATGCTTTGAGGAATAAGGGAGTTGGGAGATCCCACTTATTCTTGGGAGTCCAGAAGGTCCCCACACATGCCCATGACGGGGCACAGCCTCAGAAAAGAACTGAGAAGCTCTCAGTGCTCACCTCTGGCTGAACTTCAGGCTCTGAGCAAGCAGGAAGTGAAGGTGCAAGCAGGAAGTGAAGGTGCAAGCAGGAAGTGTGAAGGTGCAAGCAGGAAGTGAAGGGGAAGGCAGAGTCGCAAACTCCCCAGCTGAGTGCTGAGGGTGTGGACCAACGTACATAGCCTAGCTACAAGCCCTGGAGAAAAACATTTTTTTGATTCCAGGGGTTTAAGGAACTCTCTGTCAAATTACTGTCTCAGCACTAAGCTAATAGAACAGTGAGCACACATGACGAAGAAACTATTTTTTTAAGGTGACATAAACAAGCAAAAACAACCACAATCCACAACAATCAGCAACAGCAAATTGCACAGAGGGGGAGAACCTGATACCCAGAAATATCCCATTGTAATAGTCACTGTCCAGTTTTCACCAGACAGAGCAGGAAGAAATATGAGCTACTCGTGGGGGGAAAACAGTTAATAGAAAATCTTCCTGAGGAAGACCAGAATTGGACTCACTAGATAAAGTCTTTCAATCAACTCTCTTAAACTGTTCGAAAAACTAAATAAAATCACAGACAAAGAATTAAGATAAACCAGGAGAATGATGCCTCACCAAATAGACAATATCAATAAAGAGATAGGAACTTTAAAAAGAAACCAAACAAAAATTCTGGAATTGAAAAGTACAACAACTGAAATAAATAATTCATGATAGGGTTTCAACAGCAGATTTTATCAGGTGGAAGAATTAATGAACATAAAGACAGATGAATTAACATACTTTAGTCTGAGGAGTAGATGAGACAAAGGGGAGTAGATGTGAGAATGGAGAAAAATGAACAAATCTTAGAAGACCTGTGGGACGCTATCAAGCATCCCAACACGCTTAACTGGATTTCCAGATGGAGGGGAGATGGGGGAACAGAAAAAATAATTGAAGAAATAATGGCCAAAACTCCCCAAATTGAGAAAACACATCAATCTACACGGTCAAGCCACTCAGTGAACCCCAAGTAGAATAAACTCAAAGAGAGTCACACAAAAACACAGTGTAATCAAATTCTCAAAAGTCAAAACAGAATCTAGAAAGCAGCTGCACAGAAGACTATCAGCGGATTTCTCATCAGAAACCATGGAGGCCAGAGGCATTGGGATGACATATTTCACGTGCTGGCTTGGGGTACAGGGGCGGGGGAAACCAACAACCAAAAAGACATCAGCATCTGACAAAATTATCCTTCAAAAATGAAAGAGGGGTCAGGTATGGTGACTTATGCCTGAAATCCAAGCACTTTGGGAGGCCGAGGCAGGTGGATCACAAGGTCAGGAGATCAAGGCCATCCTGGCTAAAACTAATATAGTGAAACCCTGTCTCTACTAAAGATACAAAAAACTAGCCACGCATGGTGGTGGGAGCCTGTAGTCCCAGCTACTCTGGAGGCTGAGGCAGGAGAATGGTGGGAACCCAGGAGGCAGAGCTTGCAGTGAGCGGAGATCTCGCCACTGCACTCCAGCCTGGGCAACAGAGCGAGACTCCATCTCAAAAAAAAAAAGAAAAAGAAAAAAGAAAGAGAAAGTGGTTCATTTCAAGGTAAATAAAACCTGAAAGAGCTCATTGCCAATAGACTTGCCTTACAAGAAATGCTAATTCAGGCTGAAATACAAGGGCACTAGACAGTAACCTGGAGCCATATGAAGGAAAGGTAGCCATGTTGGTGGTTTGTGTGTTTATAAGAATTTTTCCATTACATATTGGTTATCTAATTTGTTGGTGTACAAATTTTCACAGTATTCCTTATAATCCTTTTTATTAATGTAAGGTCAGTAGTGATATTCCCATTTTCATTTATGATTTTAATTATTTGAATCTGTCATCTTTTAATCTAGATAAAGATTTGTCGGCCGGGCGCGGTGGCTCAAGCCTGTAATCCCAGCACTTTGGGAGGCCGAGACGGG